CTTTACTTTATTTTGGCCGGCGTTACTGTTACTTCGTGTTAATTCTGTATGTGTGTGTATGTGTGTGTAAACTGTTTCCACGTTGAACCATGGAGGTTTGTCAGTACATTATGCAGACAGAAGTAAAGACAGAGAGTTAATGCCAAGAGAGATTGATCGAAGTAAGCATTATTGGAATAACTTAAATGAAATATTAATTATAATAGTTATAATAGTTGCTGTGACACTACCCTGCTTCAAGCAACCAGAGGATCATGTATTATAGTCGCTTTGCTTATCAATACGACGTTTTTATTCAAATATAACTAGGTGTTAATAGATTCAGTATTGTACGGAAAAGATATCAATTCAACGAACCTATATAGGTAATTTATTCAGTTTCTTTCGTATAGTGGGCAACAGGACCACCCACATTAGCGATCCCCTAAGTCTTTCGAGCAGTGTGCTTTCTGAAATCTCTTAAACAAATCAATCAGCTCGGTGTCAATCATCGGGTTAGTTTCACCTAAATACATAAACAAATAAATAAACTAAATCCTTCACACTTTTTCAAAAGCTGGTCAATAATTCTAGTATCAAATATTACTCCAAATTGCTTCTAGATTTTCCAATTGCAAATATCTCTTTCCTCCTATTTCCAACTATAAAACATACCGACAAACTTCGATGGTTTCTCGCCAGAACAGTCTGCACCGAGTGATATGAGCGTGTATAACTGTATTTTGTGTCTGTGCAAGCTCCGCTTGCCTGTCTACCCGTGTGTACGCGGGTCTGTGCCATGGAGCAAGACAGTTGGTCTTGCGCGCAGCCACGTGGAGGAATGGGTAACATCATCGATGGATCATTCGGCTCTCTTACCGGGATCGATCGGCCTAAATACCTTGTACAATGTGCTCGAATTCGTTCACCATCGTGAATCGACGGACAGACCGTCCGCCACCCTGCTCCGTCTGACAAGGAGTGTATTTTAGGTGTCCGCCTCCGATTGCTTTGGTTTTCGCACATGTTTTAGAGGACCGAAAAATAAGAGATACGTATTTTTTTATAGCGGCCCGTTTTCATATTTAGGGGGTGAAACCACCCCTCAAAGTTTCGACCCGGAAGTACTATCTCGAAAACCAGAGGAGATACATGAAAACTTTCAATTGGTGGCTTTCAGGGTTTTTTATGTACAATAAACTGGTGTTAACAAATTGTCAAAAATACAATTTGTTTACAACAAAAAAATATATCATTTTGAGGACCTTTTTGGAGGAAACTACGTGTATATCTCACAAGGGAAGGCACGGAAGTGTCCCCCTCCGATTTTGATGAAACTTCGTATGTCTGTTAAGCAGTCAAAAATAAAGGTCACGTATTTTTTTTATCAGCTAAGACGCGACTTCAAGGGGTGAAACCACCACTCGAAATTTCTATCCGAAATTTTGTTGTTATAAACAAATTATATTTTGTATAATTTGTTAGCACCATATTATTCTACATAAAAAACCGCAGACCTCGTCCATTAGAAGTTTTCATGTATCTCCTCTGGTTTTCGAGATAGTACTTCCGGGTCGAAACTTTGATGGGTGGTTTCACCCCCTAAATATGAAAACGGGCCGCTATAAAAAAATACGTATCTCTTATTTTTCGGTCCTCTAAAACATATCCGAAAACCAAAGCAATCGGAGCCGACAGGCAATTCGGTAACGGCCATACTTTCAAGCGAAAGATAGAGTTTATGTGACGATATCGTCTTTTTGAACTCTTTTGTATTTTCGTTGGGAAGTACACGGCGAAATTAAAAAACACGTTGCTGTTACTGATTTATGCGTGTTTAGGGATGGATATTGCTGTTTATAGCGGACAGAAGGATGATTGAATCTGAATTATTCCAACGTAAACCGTGCGTACCAGACGGCATACATCTAACCGCGATCAACATTACGATAAGAATTTTTTGTTTAAATAAAAACATCCCCACCCACTTTTATTAATTATCAATTTAACTGCGTCGTTTTATAGAGCATAAACAACCGTTCAATTTTTATTATAACCATTTTTTTATATCTACCGTAATTTTGAAGATATACAGGGAAATATGGAAACACATATCTACCTTCAAGGGTTGTTTTTACCCTGAAGAACTGAAATTGGACCAAAAATAAAAATGGCGTTATAATTCTCTTGAGGCCCTCTACAAACCTGCGAAGTATAAAAAAAATCGGAATTTTCGGGTTACCGAACTTTCCTTCTAAGAAAATTCGTATAATGTTTAATATAATATCACGTATTGGTACCAGAGTGGCCATTTCATGTGCAATAACCAGATGGTATTAATCAGTTATTAGATTGTTGTTAATCTCCTCCGTTTCAAAGACGAAATCATTCTCAGAAGGATCGATCGAACCTCGAGGCTGCATCGAAGGAGCAATTCCGAGGAATTAGCACGCGAGGACGAGCAAGTGGACGCGAGAGGGTACCCAGGATCCTCCAATAATAACGAAGAGAGTCCTGTGCCGGGTCATACTATATCAATTAAATCGCCATACACTCGATTTAATGGCTTGACTCGTTGCCACGAGCTCTTCGCCGAGCGCTCGAGTTCGCGTGCTCGAGCGCCCTTCCACGAGGAGCCCACACGATTGTTGCACTTTTAAGGAATCGAGCCGTTTCCGCCCTCTTGTCCCTTTCGCAGCCCCGATTCGATTGAGCCTTTCACGCGTTCCTCGTGTATTATTCTGCCGAACGTACCAGAAAACGGAGTATAATCGAGGAAATAATTAGATATTAGGTGTACAAATTAATTTGATGCCTTTATAATTGAACAGTTACATCTGCGTTTTATATTTGAATATTTTCCCGCCCTTTTGCGACTTTCTACTGTTGACCCCAGAGCCAGAGTGTACTAAGTCCACTTTTAAAAAAAAATGACAGTTTACAGGTTTCTGATAACTAAAAAAGTCTTAATGAATCATTATAAAATTTGTCTTTTCTTTGCAACCTAATAAAACCTTGCATACTCCTAGGCATGTTGGTTCTATTTAAATTCATTTAGTTCTCAATTTTGAATATAAAATATGAAATAAATTTTGTTGGAAGAAGAAATTTGTGCATCAACGAGTTAATAGAAAAGTTAATTCGCCCTTTAATTCGACTTCTGTCAATTCGTGACTCTTGAAAGATATGAATTTATATAAACATCGAATATAATTTTAAATGTTAGTATTGATATTTTTCATTCGGTATCTAAGTGTAACCAAATGTAATTTTATTTTGTCTGCAGTAATTTTATTCTGTTTTTCAAATCCTAATGTATATCTTACGATTTGACTTTGATTTTAAATACTTGCAATTCATTATCCTTGTATAATCATATTAACATTGAGAATACATTGCAGCCACCGATGAAAGATAAAAATTGTAATTTCATTAATTCGCTAAAGAGTAACTCTTCATTTGACAGTGTAATTAAATATCAGATTCCTTCCATTAATTAGATATCGAACCGTGCACGCTCGAGTCTATTAATACAGTCTGCGTAATTGAACGTAAAACACCAATGAATTTTAATACTCTATCGCTGCAGATTGTAAAATATCGCGTTACTCTTCACTCGATCAGATCCAAATATTTTTTTCATAAAACACGTCCTGACAATATCAACTTCTCTTTTTCCATCAAACTGTTGATTGAATGTTGAACATTCGTGCCTATGAAAATACGTAAACAACATAATTCCTAAAATGGAAAAATTCTTAAGATAGTAGCAGTAACATATCCAAAACTAGATAAGTCCATTTATGTTGTAGTTAATTACCCTGAATATTTTTCTCAAGAATAATATCCTGAGTACGGCGATATTTATCTCACAATGAAATTGTTAATTCAGTATTAAACTTTCGTGCCTCTGAAAACGTGTCGAAAGCTCAATTTAAAAATTTGCTAATAGATGAAACATTCCTAAATTTGTAGCAGTAGCATTTTACGAACGGTGTTAAATTTGCCTGAAATTGGGGTACGTTTCATTTCCCTGACGAATGTAGGTTTGTTCAGAGATTTCTTGCGAACGTAATCTTAAAGATTATCATCGATCCGTCACCATTATCATCGAGATATCATCATATGATTCCTTCAATCATCTGTGTATCTACAGTGTAACGTCTTCGAGCACATTGACAATCTACCGCTAACATCACCAGCCACCCATCGATCTGTTACCCATTTCGATCTTACAGCTAACCAGTAAAATATAAAAGGTACTCATCCTGATCAGCCTTGTGATTCTCTCCACGACGAGGCAATCCAGCTGCGAAGTATTCCGTTCCTCAAGAATCTTCTTCATCGGTTAAAACAACAAGCGCGCGGGCAACGGTGCACTTCCGGGTGTCACAATTGCGAGCGCGCCAATTTTCGAACGAAAAAAAAAAAAAAAAGAAAACAATTAATCATCTTCAACGAAACTCTTCCATCCAAACCTGTTCCTCGAGATCTTCTCGTCTTCGAACTACGAAGATACTCCGATGTTGCTCAATCCTCTTCGGTCGCTGTTAAATCTTCCGAAGCAACAATGTTCCTCGATACCTTCCCCTGGAATCTGTTTCCCTAAATTCTACATATTCTCTTGTATCCACGATTAGATCTTGCTTTCTGAGGCACGGACATGGCGATCACAACCTTTCTTCGAGCTTGTCGGGCACAGGAACCATGTTCAAGTTGACATTATCAGCGACATCCATCGGGCCAGCCGAGTTGTCGCCAAACGTCACCACCTCGATTACCAGATCTACCTTCATCGTATCTTTCTACAGATCCAGGGGCAAGGGATAATCTTCTAAATCCCTTTCAGAAATCAACTAAACTGGTTCGGTAGAAATAGCAACGTTGAAGACTTTCATGAGAACCGATTCATCCAGGAACGGATCATTCAGTCTTGCCTCGACGATCCATCGTGTCTGCGCGTAGGACCTTCTTCTCCCTCCACGTCAGACGATCGAACCGCCCCCTCCCTTCTACGATGGTTATTCTTCGGGCCAGCCGAGATCCTCACCCACGAGCTCGTAGAATCGTTGGTTGTGTTCGTTGAAGAACCGCCTCAGCTTCGTTACCACCATCGGGCTAACCCGTGGATGGCGTCTGCCTTTGCTCTCCTTCAGGCATTTCTCCGAGGTCTCGTTGCGCAAACAGTAGAAGCCCTTCGTGTGGTTGAAGTAGAAGTTGTGTCTACCGATTCTGGGCTCCAGGCCGAGGAAGCTCTCTATTCTTCGTAGCTGCGGCACCGGATCCTCGATTAGCTGGTCGCCGTTCACTATGAGGATCTGCTCCCTGGAGAACACCTCCAGCCACCTGTGCATGTACGTATGGTACAGGGAGATCGCGACTGGCCTGTACGACTCGTTTATGCTGCCGTCTGGTCGTATCACCAGCTCCTCGAAACTTCGGGCGGCCTGCTGTTGTTGCAGCTGTTGCTGTTGCTGTTGCTGCACGCTACGGGGCGTACCGTTCGTTATGGTGGACGCGGTTGCAGCGTGCGTTCGTAGCTGAGTGTAATCCGATATTGCTCTGGTTACAGGCTCTCGGACTATTAAGAGAAGCTTCACGCTGGCGTTCATCGCGCGAATCCTTTCAGGTACCTGAAACAGCCGGGAAGATAAGGGCGGTTATTAGAGCCACGTGCCTTGGGTTTATGACGCGATCGAAAGGGAACAATGCCGTTTTTTTTTTTTAGAATGACTCTAAATCGGGCGTATTTGTTTCTTTTTAGAACAGCACTGTTTAACAGTTAACGCTACGGGTAACGTTTCAGGCTGTCCCATAATTCTTTGGGTAGATGGGCGTTCACGATGAAAATTATAACTTTTTAACTAATTTTCGATTTTATACCCTAATACTTCTACTTAGAGAGTATACAAAGATGCATTGAAGGGTGCATAACAAAATATACTACTGGATTGAAACAATTGAGGCGATCTTTAATTTTTTATTGAATGAAACGTTTTTTATCAATTTTTTTCTATTGAAATTTGTTGTTATCTGAATACTGTATTAATTGAAATTATTGTACTTGTACAGATTCTGATGGTTCCTGACTTAATACTTCCATTACCATCGCATTGTTTCGAAAACTTTCATCATAGACCACCGTAGGTTTCTATAATTTTATTCAGTAGAATGTTCTTATCTTTTTGATTAAGTATTTAAAAGACATATAACAGAGATAAGGAATAACCGAAATATTGAATATTGTAAAACACATTCTGTTTTTATCGAATAAAGTATGCTAACTTAGACATTGGAGCGTCATACATACTTAACACTAGGTTTACGGGACGCGTCATTTTGACGCATTTCGAATGTTTTCTAATCTCGAAGTTCTCTATGTGGTATACCTATCTCTATAGCTATGCATTAATTTCAGAGATCATAAATTGTGTATTATATAAAATAAGTTGTTTTTTAAAGAAAATCTGCGGGTTCGTTGATGCGTGCCGTGGAGATACCTACACGATAAGTGTCCGTAAACCTAGTGTTAAGTACAGTAAATCCACGATGAGTGTTTGAAGGGTCCTCGGCACTGAATATTAAATATTTCATAAATTAATGGCCACATGCGGTTGAAACAAATATCATTGACTTCGGAATTCCAAGCTCTATCACGGTGTTAAACCTCATTAAAAAGTCAATGCTACACCCTGAAATTTCTTTCTGTCAGTGTCGAGGTGTGTTCGAACACTTAGCGAGGATTTACTGTACGTAACACTGGTAGTGAAGTGTTAAAACTTTTGTTAACACAAAATATTATCAATTCATATAGTATTATATTATGAGCTTTAAATAATTTTTTAAGTGCCTTCATGCAAAATGATGATTAATATAGACAGTTAAGTGGAAGTGAGAAATATTAAGAATCTACTACGTTTTCAGGTGAGTGTTACTTGAATCGATATAACGAGCCTTTAAGTGGCATTTATTTAAATTTACTGACGTAGTAATGCATATTACAATTACCAATGCATACCCTTAAGTGTTCGCTACCATTACCGTGTTCCTCCGCTGTCCTGGGTTGAGGATATTAACTTAATTATAAGATTGCATGAGATGATAATTACTCGAACAAAACAGTGTTTTTCCTCCTTTTTGAATTTTTTTAATAAGAATAGTTGAAAGCAACTCAAATATGAAAATTTTCCATAACAAATATTTAAATAAGTAACGCAAAGATGGATTTTGTTACCACAGAATTTTATGACTAAACTTTTCAAATAGAAACATCGATTTCCTATATGCTTAAAATTGTTTAAACTCATAAATAGATAATACAATTATTGTTTTCCTTTTTTAATTGAATCCTAAGTACAACTTGACAGATGAATAACAGATTAAATGTTGGAATAAAACTTCATATAAACTATCTACAAAAGTTATTTTGCTACCTATATAATGTTCGGAAAAGTACACCAAACGAAAGAAATTAATTTTTCTAAATATAATTCATTGCATTACAAAACGAACAAGACTTATTATTCACTTTATTTAAAACTGCATTGTTAGAATAGATAAAAATAAGCGTATCAGAACGACTTATATCTGTTCGATATTAATAATAAGTAATTGGTATGCCGATGAATAAAATACGACTACAAATAATGGTATTTGTAACACAACTGGCCGAGGTGTGATTACTCATGAAGAAATAAATTGAAAATGCGGAATAAATTTTAAAAGAATTTCAATATTTATCTGATACGCGTATATTTCTACGTGCAATAAATTGAAACGGCAGGTAATAAAGAGACACATTAGCCGAATCCTCTTCAATCAAGTTTTCGAACTTATTTTTCTCAAAAAACAAGGATATTGACCTATTTTACCTATTTTACCCCTTTTACCTATTTTACCTATTTTACTTATTTTACCTTACCTGGCCCATTACTGGCCAATTAACGCTTTTGACAATAAATCTCGCTACCTAACACCAATATTTTGACACTATAGACGAATATATTTTACACAACTAATTCTATTCTTACGGCTAAAAGGAAGAAATAAATATTTTTATTAATTTGTTGAAATTAATTTAATTTACTTTCGACACGATAATTCAAAACATGGTGTACACATAAAGCAACATTACACTTCTGACAAAAATACCGTGTTTTCTACGTTCTCCGTTTTGTTTGCACACGACGCGTTTTGTTGTGGATTTTTTCTTTACCGTTTGTCGTATTGTTGCAGGGAAGTTGTAATGGATTTATCTAAAAATATATTACATCAAGGAAGAACTACGTTTTTCGACAACTGGTACTCATCTCCCGTTTTATATAAAAAGCTGCACAAAAATATGTTCGTCTATAGTGTCAAAACATTAGTGTTAGCAGGATTTATTGTCAAAAGCGTTAATCGGACAGTACCGGGTGGCGAGATATCTCGTCCAGGGATACGAAGGGGTTAAAGATAACAATCAGGCCAACGTTACGTTGCCTTACGAATAAGGACATCGTTCCTATAGTCTGTTTTTCGAAAGATGATGCCTGGGAGGTAGGCCCGAGTTTTCGCGGTGTTGCCGCGATCGCGAGACACCTACGGCACTTGTGTCTCTCTCCCTCCTCCCGCCTTGGCCAATGACGTGCGACCGTCGACGTGAGTCCTCGCCTACGGTCGTCTGTCTCTTTCACTCTTCGCATCTTGGCCAACGACGTCCGACCGTCGACGTGAGTCCTCGCCTACGGTCTCTATCACACGTATTACAAACCTCTCGAGAAGGACCTACCTAAATACAATCTCAAGGAGTGGGGAGGGCAGCGATGGCTTTTATGGTCTGTTTTTCGAAAGATGATGCCTGGGAGATTGGCCTGCCTCGGCGCGTGGCCTGGCGGAGATCCAACGCGAGCTGCGTATTTCGTGGGACGTTGCACGGTCTCAATGCCACTGTGTGTCTCTTTCCATCCTCCGGCACTTCGGTACGAGAGCCTCTCGCTCAGACGCTCGGTAAACAAACTTCCTTCTTTACCCTGCGATTTCTACGTGTAGCGTTTAATAACCTACGTGTTAATTTAATCTCCTTTTAATATGTTGCTCAATATTTGGGTACAACACATTCTTTTAAAAGAAATAAACTTTTCCTTATTCATGAATTTTAACTTTTGACGTGTGAAAACGTTCAGCGTCTCGTCAACATTCTCCGCCATTTCCAGACAATGGATGATTGGCGGCCACGTGCCGAACGCAGGCCCCACTCCTTGAGATTGTAGGTAGGTCCTTCTCGACAGGTTTGTAATACGTGTGATAGAGACAGACGATCGTAGGCGAGGGACTCACGTCGACGGTCGCACGTCATTGGCCAAGATGCGAGAAGTGAGAGAGACACAAGTACCATAGGTGTCTCGCGATCGCGGCAACACCGCGAAAACTCGGGCCTACCTCCCAGGCATCATCTTTCGAAAAACAGACCATAGTAAGAGGACTGTCATTAACCGCAAGGAACTTACCCGAGAACCTCGAAGGAGCGTAGTTCTTTTACAAATCAAAGGCCCTAATATTTTTAGCACATTATACCAACTTCTCCACCTCTGCTCACCTCTGGCGTGACGAAGTAGCTAGGACTTTTCTCGATGGTGATCTGCCCCCGAAACGAGTACGGCATTTTCCGTCGATACCATTCGAGGCCCTTCCCATAGTTGTCGTCCCGGTCGAAGAAGTGTACTTCGCCGGCTGCTTTTTGGATCTGCGGATGGAGGAAGAGCATCTCGAGTAGGGCCCTGGTGCCGCACTTCCGTACGCCGATGATGATCGCCTGAGGTAGATGTCGACTGGTTCGCGGGAAGTGGACCTTGCTGGAGAAGAGGAGGGGCGGTGTGGCTCGGACTTGGGAGACAAGCTCGACGGTACGACCCTCGACAGCCGAGGCCGCGTGCAGGCTGTAGACAGCGCTGTCGTAGAGTATATGGAAGGTCAGAAAGAGGGAGAGGAGGACGACCGTGAGAAACGCGGCGGCCATCTTCGGTCTGGATATGCCGACCACCAGGATACAGTCTGAAGCGTCGCCCTCAGCCGGCCTCATGGCAGAGCGGGACATCCACCTGTTAACAGGTTGTAGGTAATGTTTAGCAAGATTTGAAGGACCAACCGCCTAACGCAAAGGTGTCCAGCTCATGAGAAAATCTCTAGCATTATCAGGGCCTGTTAACTTTCATTAGAATTGTATGGTCAGTCATAAGCTACCGAGCCTCGTCACCAATGGCGCTAATGTCACATTTTTCGATAGATAACGTATACTTCTATGTAGTGCTATGTAGTCGACGGATACAACACATGTTGGCGTTGGAGGGGTATTTATCAATATTTATTAAATTTATTGTATGCTGTATCCCTATATAATGGAACATTTTTAGCGTGACACCACTGACGAGGTATAAGAATAGATCTTTTATCTTATGGGAGTTGGTGGCCCACCTAAACTTAGTACCGACACCTTAAAAAGCCTATGATTTTAGCGACCTCTACGTTTTGAGAACGTTGAATCTGCGGTGGGTAGTGACACTAAAATGGAAATGGGCTACGTAACCCCAGAAAAGTGGGCCGCAAAAATACATTGAATGAAATGTCTATACTCCTATACCTCGTCTGTGGTGACACTGACAAGGAGTGTATTTTAGGTGTCCGCCTCCGATTGCTTTGGTTTTCGGATATGTTTTAGAGGACCAAAAAATAAGAGATACGTATTTTTTTATAGCGGCCCATTTTCATATTTAGGGGGTGAAACCACCCCTCAAAGTTTCGACCCGGAAGTACTATCTCGAAAACCAGAGGAGATACATGAAAACTTCTAATGGACGAGGTCTGCGGTTTTTTATGTAGAATAATATGGTGCCAACAAATTGTCCAAAATATAATTTGTTTATAACAACAAAATTTCGGATAGAAATTTCGAGTGGTGGTTTGACCCCTTGAAGTTGCGTCTCAGCCGATAAAAAAAATACGTGTCCTTTATTTTTGACTGCTTAACAGACATACGAAGTTTCATCAAAATCGGAGGGGGACACTTCCGTGCCTTCCCTTGTGAGATATACACGTAGTTTCCTCCAAAAAGGTCCTCAAAATGATATTTTTTTGTTATAAACAAATTGTATTTTTGACAATTTGTTAACACCAGTTTATTGTACATAAAAAACCATGAAAGCCACCAATTGAAAGTTTTCATGTATCTCCTCTGGTTTTCGAGATAGTACTTCCGGGTCGAAACTTTGAGGGGTGGTTTCACCCCCTAAATATGAAAACGGGCCGCTATAAAAAAATACGTATCTCTTATTTTTCGGTCCTCTAAAACATATCCGAAAACCAAAGCAATCGGAGGCGGACACCTAAAATACACTCCTTGTGAGTGACTGGCGACTACTGTGTGGGATCGTGTATGATAAATTTGTGTTGTAATAAATTTTGTTAGTTTGCTGTTTTAAACATGTTTATTAAATTGTGAACACCTAATATCAAATTTATTATAACTCAAATTTATCATACACGATCTCATACAGTAGCCGCCAGTCATTCACTGTCTTGTCTATTATAAATCGTTCCGAAATTCAAATGCGTCCCGGATTTCCGGCACCCGTTTTAGTACTGGCCCTTGTCACCTATGGCGCTGCAAATTGACCAAGAAGAACCTGTGAGATGTACCCCCGTGAGCACTATGGTTCTTAGATTGAACCAACTGACCTATTGCAAATTTTTCGAAATCGACATTTCATATTCCTTTATGTGTTCATACATTTATCTGTATTCTTTTATATCAGGACAATGGTACAAATTGGCTAATTTTGGAGCGTGTGGTAACTTTGTTCTCGTTGAGCTCGTCTGGAAAAAAATTGAAACATTTTTTAAATCTGTATTAGCGCAGTTTCTGTTAAGCGTATGGAAATTAAATTATTAATATTTCTAGAAAAATGGCAGACTATGAAGCAAAAGATTTTAATACTTCGATAAAAAATGAGTACATTTTGTGTTCATAAACTTAAGTGAAACTGCACTAATACACTTAGGTTTAAAAAATTGTTTAATTTCTTTTCTCAGATGAGTTCATTGTGAACCATGTAGGAAACCATGAGGCCTAGCTCGACTTTCATTTCCTATTATATTGTAATATAATTGTTTGAAAATAAAAAAAAATAATTGATACCAAATGTTTCCAGATGACCAAAGTACACATTTTTTTTTTGTCGGATTACTTGGATACTTTGACCAGAAAAATTTTATACACCTGATACTATGCCTTTTGTCAGACCATCGGAATAATTCAACTCCAAGACACCCTATGCTCCTTTAAATTCGGCGGCAAAGTGTGTCGGCGTCACGCAATATCGACATTAGTTGCACGAGTCCCCTATAATTTATACTTTCCACACTGCAGAAATTATTAAGACCGTCGTACTTATTGATCATTACATGCATACTGATAAGTACACGGGTTACACGCTCATTGGCATGTGTCCGGTGTGCGTGCACGCTGTCAGCTACAACTTCATCGAATTTCATTCGCGTTCGCCTTCCGCGTACAATTGCCGTCATCGGAAACGATCGAAGAAAGGGTTCTCTAACTACATGGTGGGTTGAAAGTCATTTAAAAATGTATACAGGGTGAACCACGAATTGTGATCAGTAGAAATTACTCTGTCATTAGCAATCCGATCGAAAATGTTTTTATCAGGTATAGCATGGTTCAAAAACAAATGACCTTTAGATACGGGGACATTCATTGGTTGGTTGAGGACAGTATACAATATAATTAAATGGTATTGTACGGTCTGTTTTTCTAAGATTTCACTCTCTTCATTAACACAATGGTGCAACCCTACAAATGCAAATGCCCCTTTTTTAAAATGGAATTATATATTTTTCTTTATTTGTAACAATAGTTCGGAACATCCTGCGTGAAAAAATATTAATGTACAATGTTTAGAAACCTAATATTTCGTTACGAAAAACATAAAGAAACTATCTATGAAGTGCTTGCAATGTGAATCGAACGCAAATTCGTTATCGTTGATATTCGTCTTATATACAGAATCCACTCTGTGAAAGTGTCCCACATTTTTATTAGCACGCTGTAGAACAAAACTGTACACGTTACCTGAATCGTTCACTCATTGCGAAAACACGATCCAGATAATTTTAATTGTCGCAAATCAGTCACGTTTCGCGAACACTGTTTCACTATCAATTATTTTCACCGAGGGCCGATAGGAAGAACGTCTTCGAACGTGAGAAATGAAAGGCTAAACATCTAACGTAACTAATTGTAAGAGGGGGTGGAGGGATGGAGGAAGAAGTCTCCTCAATGATTAACGAACCGACGGAATTAATAGTGGCGCGTTTTCACAAATTGCATCTCGAACACGGCGCAAGTTTTATCGATATTGCTGGCAACAATAAATCAAGTGAGTAAGCCCGCATGCACTCACGCGGAACGAAGGAATCTTTCGGGATGAAGAAAAGTGTACATCCAGATAAGAATAATCACGTCGAAAACGCTGACATTAGCTGCATGATATAAGTGTCTGTTAAGTGGGATTAATTAATCATTTTCGTACGAAATTACGGCGCAAGACCGAGAATAATATACCAGTTCGGTCTGTAGATTATTAGTATTTGCCACTCCGTCAGGCAATGGAACAAAATTCCAGCATTTATTTTACAGCACAAATTTCTGCCGCTCATCATTTTTTTAAGGTGGGCATTCCCACTTGGAGGTGTCATATTTAAGTGATTTTTTAAGCTAAGAATCAATGGACCAAAGAACTTGTAAGTTTTCGTACATATTTTTTTAAATTTCAAGAAAGTATAGTAAAATTTTATTATCTTTCATATTAAAAAAATTACTACGTGTTTTTTTTGTAGCGTACATTATTGTATTCATTGGAAAGAAAATCAAAGATAACCTTAATCTATATAAAAATGACCCGCCGAACTCCCGCTCTGATTGGTCGGGATTTTTCGTTAATATCGCGTTAACAAAGCCTCGGATAACATTTTAGCCGAGGAAAAACTTGTTCCAAATCACCGTAGGCGTGACCCATTTCAGGGACCTACAATACTTTTCTTACACCATGTATAATGCAAAACAGCTTAGTATACTACAATATACAGGGTGAACCTCGAATCGTGATCAGGAGAGATTACTCTGTTATCAGCAGTCCGATCGAAAATGTTTTTATCAGGCATAGCATGGTTTCAAGAAAGCTTTAACGTGATTATAGCAAATTTTTTGTCAACTCTTTCTTTTTCATGATTTTTCAAGGTCACCTTCAATTTTTTGCAAATACATCTATAATTTTTTTACGCCTATCTGTTAGAGGATTTCAAGACGAATTCGGTAAGTATCATAACATAACATGTGTTACTTTTTTTTTCATCTGGGTCGAGAAAAGATTAAAGAAATATTCGAACTGTAATATTACAAAGAGTATCGTATGCTACGCCATTGTACGCGTTCCGACGTTGAGCTCTTGCCTATAGTTTGTAAACATATCGTTCTGTACATTGGAACACATCTAATGATATCTACTGGTTACGATTCGTGGTTCACCCTGTATATTGTATAAAAAGTTACAGGTTAATATAAGTTCCGATGAAAGTATCTCTATAATTTTGATAATTGTAAAATAAAAACTTTGGAATCCGTCACTTCGATAATTCTAGTGTTAAATTCCACCAGCGACAAGAAATTCAACGAAATATGAGGGACATTGCTCGTAATACCGCCAGAGTGTCCCGTAACGTGTCCAGTGTGGCCACGAAGAAATGATTGCTCAAAAAACTATATTGCAGCATGCGGACACTTTGACGCCGATAAGGGAAAAGTCTGGAACCTATGACAAACTGAACTTCCACATAAGTATACGTGATCGCGTAACTGAACCGAACACATTTCGCCCGGGGAACGGTAGCTGCAACTTCGGGAAACGTTGGTTTCATTGCTTCCGCTGGAATCGATAAATCAGCCCCCCATCGTACGGTCTTCCCGCCTTGGGCGAACCAAGAACAAACCGCAACATACTACATCGGGATACGCCGTATCGGTCGAGGATAATCGTGTGAAAAACAATCGACTTAGATAATTCCACCGATAATGTATTAGGTTGCCGCGGCTGGGAATCTCTTCCTCCATGTAATCGTAAAGATATTGTGCACAATAGAAGGTCAGTTATTCGAATTAGGGGTGCAACTATCGATAAAGTTATTGATACGTATCGACAATATCGAAGTGTTGATGATATCTTGACATATCAATAATGTTTTGTTAAAATATTGTTAAGGCGAATAGAAACGATTTATGTAAATAGACGACAATGTATTAATTGTAACAAAATCATTTATAATCTATTTATTTTTATTTGAACTTATTGCCGGCAATATATTAGTGTATTTTTGGTTGTAATTTTGTTCTCCTGGCTGAAAGAATCTGTATATGTATATATACAGGGTGCGGCATTGAAGTTGACATATGGAAATATCGTAAAAACAAAGCATTTCATAAGAAAGTATTTTAGACAGAAGTTGTTTGGTTTTGAGGGGGAAAGAGAATGACATTATTTATTTTTAATCTGGTGCACTATATTTTTTAAACAGATCGTTAATCCACGCAAACAAAAATAAACAATTTTTGTCTGAAACGTTTTTTTTTATTTTAGTTTAAACAAATTTTTTTTATCCATTTAAGAAAACGAAGTGGATCTTCGAATGACCTTCGAAACGTTCAACAGATTAAAAATAAATAATGCCATTCTCTTTTCTCCTCAAAACCGAGCAATTTTTGTCTAAAACACATTTCTATGAAATGCTTTGTTCTTATATTTTCATGTGTCAATTTAAATGCGCCTATTCTTCCTTTTAAAATTTGATGTACGTACAATACGATTGCAGCGCTGTGTGGCTAGCGGAAAATTCACGAAACTTTTGTTCTTTCTTACGGGATCACTTTTACAACGAGAGTTTCCAGACCTGTAGACAGGGTTTCCCACCTAACTCTGCCACACTTAAATACAAAAAAACCGTTTGGAAGTAAGTTAGTGTATTTTAGGGGTGAAATTAGGCTATGAGACTGAAGGTCATCTCAAGGTCATATCTTCTGAGATTTCTCTAATGGTAACGTTTTTTTTAAATGGAATGCCCTATTTTTTGTCTGCCATTACAAAAAGGGGATCAAAACGTATCAAACAATGTATCGCACTATGGGGTGACAACACTTTGAACATACACTAAAATAATAAATGCGATTATGGCGTTTATTTTGTTTATGCAATTAATTTTCTGTGATCTTCTACCTCAACCAGTTACGTGCGAAATTTTTAGTCCAAGGTCATTCCAAGGTCATAGTGTGATACTTTGTTGGAAACGTTTTGAGCTCCTCTTTATAATGGCAAACAAAAAAATAGAGCATTCCATTTAAAAAAACGTTACTATTAGACAAATATCAGAAGATATGACTTTGAGATGACCTTCAATCTCATAGCATATTCCCCCCCCCCTAAAATACACTAACTTTCCCCCGAATTATTTTTTTCTACTGTGACAAATAAGAGAATAATTAAGGGTGGCAGAGTTTAGCGAGATACCCTGTATATGACCGTGGTTCTAACCTCACTTTTTCCTGTCTTTAGTAAATCCATCGATACAAATCTGTCGTTAGCGTCCTATAACTCAAAACGATTTTGTTTCAGTTAAAATTTTTTCTCGCTTTGTTACTAGTTATTATACACTTACATCACTTTAAAATAAGCTGTTGAGAACCTTATCATATTTTTCCAACTAATAATTTCATTAACAATACCCTCGAACGCAAATCAGAAAAAAACAGCAAGTCTAAGTTTATCCTAATTTCCCCGGTTCTCTAAAAAGCCCAGAATTTGCCAATCATTTTCAAGGAGGCAAGAAGGATGTTATTGGCCGGCTGGAAGGCAATTCGAGGGTAACAAGCGGCGTTGAAAAACCGCAGTACCGTTCTGCTTTCTGGTTTCGATCGGTTGATTCTGGGCGACCGAGAGTCGAGCGAAAGATAGAAAGAAATATAGAGCAGAGTCGGTCGGCGTTCGGCGGAACGCCAAATATTTATGTACCTATCTTGCATCGTCGGAATCCCTCTTTGAAAGCCCAATGACCGTATTACTGCAACAAATCGCAGTTCCGTGGGTTAACTTACGCGCGAACCACCGATCGTCAAGTGTTCGGACGCCATTTTCTTGCGGTGAACCGATTCTACGAGGAGTGTTTCCAAAGCTCTGGGAATTGTGTTATATATTTAAGATTTTATTAATTTTCGCCTACATATTATTGTAATTTTTCAATGTAATTTCTGTTTAACCCTTTCGTTCCCACTGTTGTTATATGGCTACGTATATTAAATTATGAAATAAAATATAACTATCATGAATTTTTTAATATACAGGGTGAGTCACCTAACGTTTGTACCGCAAATACCTTTGTTCTTTTTAAAGATACGTCAACTGTCTTATGGACAAAGTTGAATGGTTCAATGGGGCTCACACGATACCTACAAAATTTTTATTTTTGTCACTTTTAGATATATCAAGGTCACCTTCATTTTTTAAATTAGAATCACCCGTTTTTAAACACCTACAATGATAGTCCCTTTCATTAGGAATTCAGTGACTATAATTATTGAAGGTCATTCAAGGTCATTGAACGTTTTAAAATGACATCTGTACGTGTCAAGCGACTAAATCATTCTGATCAAGATTGATCAACATCGTTGGGAGAACCAGTCAGAATTCCCTGTACTTGAAAGCATTAGTTATATTTATTTTTAGTTATTTTTTATTATCTAATTTGTGTTTTTATTCTCAGAACTTTAGAAACACACCTAGTATTGGTAATTATAAACCGTGGATATTTATGCAGGCGCACAAATATTACAAAACTTGTTAAATGAAGAATAAAAGAAAAATTTTATTTTTCCATGTTCAAGTTCTCATTTTAATGTGTATTCTATTATATGAGTGCAAAAGTTCCGATGGGTTTTGTTCCAGAATAGTAGACTACTAATAATTATATTTATAATTTAATAATAGTGTAATGATTCGTGATTTTTCGTGATCGTATCTGATTGGTGAAGTAAGTTGGTAAGTTTCGAAAATTATAGGGCACTAAGAAAGGTCTAAATTATTTAGTATCGTCTCGATTTCAGAGACGGGGCTAATAGTATATCTGTAAAAAAATTATACATTAAAAATTCGAGAAACTTTCCGAACAAGCCGACACGATACAATGTCAGATTTTTCCTGTATCACATCCTGTACCTGTCCGATACCCTCTTCGACAAATTGAAAGCGGGAAAAGTGCCCGAGTAAAGGTGTAACAAGCGACCGTTGGCCAAAGTATGCAGGTACACGTAATTAGCTAATTAAAGTTCCCGGTGGAATCTCCGTGACAAGAAGATCGTCGCTTTCCGCGGATTCTAATTATTGAACCAGTTCGTGAGATAAGGCCTTTAATTTTAAACGGAACGGACATGGCGAGAAGTCACGAATCGGTCGACGGAGGACCGGACGCAATTTGAAGCCCGAAACGGTGTACCAGCTTTCCCGAAAAACTGTACTTATAGCATAACCGCTGTAATTTGCCCGTGTATTACATCGAAAAGTGCCGGTGTAACTGAAAAGCCACCGTGTGGATTTCGTCTCGCGTGTAACGATAATAGTTTTTCACGAGCTGAGGAATTCTTCTGTTACGAGTTAACGACGAGCATAGGGAACTTATGGTTTTTAATCCTCAAAGACCACGCTATACATATTATCCTACCAATTCGACTGCACATGTGTTGGCGTAACCCAGAACGTTCTTTTAACTAGATGTCAAATATATTATAAGTAATTTAGCTAGAATTTTTTGTATAAAAAGCCACAATCTTAATAAAGAATAAAACTTTAAAAAAATTTCCAAGTGCTCTTTATATCGCTATAACGTTGGGTTAACTCAGTCATGGGCAACCGAGGCAGGAAACGTAACGAGATATTTGCGTATTGGGATTCCTTGACCCTTCTCGCACATTTTATCTAAACTAGCGTATCACTCGTATAGATTAATAATCATTTATGTTTCTTTTTATTCAAAACAGATAGAAGCATCCTGATCTTGTGTCGGCCACGCGAAAATGGTGCCTTTACATTAAGTAGTATATGTATAAGTAGTATTTAAAGCAATTGTTATTAAATTTATATAAATACTATTGTAAATTGTATATTTTCTTACGATTTTAATCCCGCACGATCTCCACTCCTATTCCTAATATCAATTAACCAAAAAAGTAATAATAAATAATAAATAATAACAAAATAATTCATTCTAAAACTTTTAAGTTTTGGAAGAAGTTCTGGAATTCGTTCCAATTTTCGCCACCAAAGTGGTGGGGGCGCCACTAAATGTTCTATAAATTCCCAAATTTTTCCGGCACTTTTCTGAATCCAAGATGGCGGAAAAATCTGCACGTTTTTAAGTTCTGGAATTAGTTATAATTTGTTGAGAACGTGATTTGTGGCTATTGCCACTATCGACATATTGCAAGAACAGTTTGGAGAAAGGATAGTTTCAAGAAATGCACTGTTAGTTGGCCTCCAAGAAGTCATGATTTAACTCCTATAGATTACTTTTTGTAGGTTATTTGAAATCTATAAAAATACTAAAGTGGAGAAAAATAAAACATTAAGAATACCCAGTAGGCCTTTCATTTTATTTTCAGTCCAACATAATTTAAATAGGAAATGAATGTCTATTTAATTGGTGTTTTTGTAAACTAATCCATAAATGTGTGGACCTGTACATACGTACAGTCCAAGAAAAAAGTATTCATACACTAGTGACATTTTTTATGAATCGACAGTACCATTTTCCCTATAACATTAAGTGAAGAATAATTTCCTTTTAATAGAACAAGTTAATTTTAAATATTAAACTATAACTTTATATATTAAAATAATACTTACAATACATCTATGGGGGACTGGGGAGACCACTCTCGACGAGGCCGTGCCTTGTTGGGCATTTGCACTGGTTTAATTGTTCACATCCTTGATATATCTGCGAAGCAGAAACCGAGAAACATATTAGATAATGTCGCTTGGAAATTTTTCGAAAAAGGATTTCGGGATGAAAGTAGGTACAAATTGCTACCTAACTATATTTTGCTTCCACTTTGATTCTAAGGGAAGGAATATCCGCGGAAAGAATATGCAGAGACAAGTGGAGTCAGCGTGTAACCTACTTTCGACCTCTCAAACATTTTTTTTATAAATTCTCAAAAAGGCGGTTCTATTGTTTAATTTAAAGTTGTGGTAGTTGATGTTCTTATAAGGAAACTTCGTTAACTCAAAAATTCCGATTTTTTTTTTAAACATTGCAGGTTTGTAAGCCACCGCAAAAATAAAAAAATTTAATAAAACATAAAAGATGCGTCCTGTCTAGATCTACAAGTTTTGTCTCATACGTTTTCTGATAGAATCAACAGTTTCGAACCAACCGATTTTATGTGTATTTCATTAATTATTTTAATGTTTAAGAGCCTGGGGGCATGTTTTCCCGTTATCCTATCGAGCTCAAATTTTGCACAGATTATTTTTGTTATTAATTGGAACTATTCTGCGTTGTGCCGTGAGAAAAAAAAATTTGAAAGTCGGAAATAAAAGCCACCCTAGTGTACATACGTCATTCCATAATTCTTCACTTGAGAAGACCACTTATATGACTAGTGGTCGAGTAGGTCCACGAAAATGCAGTTTCACAAGCACGCTGGTTTCCCGTGGTTATGAAAAATCAAACGATCCCGAAAATAATTCGTCGGCTACGTTATTCCCAAGGAAGAATGAAAATTCACACTGGCGAACAATGCAACTTTCTTCGTTCTGTGGTTTGATGTTCGCTAACGGTTTCCGCGAGAGTTAAGAGCACATCGCTGTTCGCTGCCACAGTCATCGTGGACCGGACGCCGCTACGGCTCGGAAACTTTCGAATTCGCATAACAATTCACCGCGGAACGTCTTTAACTGAATCTGTCTCGGCTAATCCCTCCTCTCCTTTTCACCGTCATCGCGAAGTCTTTGTCGTCAGTTCCTTCATACTTCGGGCCACACTTTGGTTCCTTTGGGCATTAATTCATTCACGGTGTGTGCATCACGCTGAGACTCTTAACACACTGACAACCATAAGTGTATTATACAGGGTATTTCACCTAACTTGACCACCTTAAATATATCGCTTATTTTGTATGATAGAGAAAATATCAGGTGAGAAAAATATTCTGTTCGAAGGCGCCAATACGGTGATGGGCCGAATTTTTTTCTCAAGGTCATTTTTTTTCGAGATTTCAAGGTCATCGAATTTTTTTTAAATGGGACTACATATTTTCACTACAACACTCTTATAGCATATAAAAAAACAAATCCAACGAGGTGCAAAATGTTGATCTTCACGTGACCTTTAGCGAAAAAATCATGAAATGTTTGTCAGTAAGCTCAGTACGCGTTCGGGGACGGTAAATGAAGGAATTTCAATTTCATTGGAACAGTCTACCGTGTAATTGTCCCTTGTGCTTGTAAACAGACATTCGTATTCTCTTTTCATCGGCTGAAGTATGTTTACAAGCATTATTATCAAAGTAAATCTTAGGGTTAAGGTAAGCCACTTGATTTCTTTCTGTGGGGACACCTAAAAAGTAAAGTTTACAATGATGTTCCCACAACAGCAGAAAACATGCGACAAAGGGTTCTACATGAATGTAGATCAATTACTGCAGAGCAACTTAAAAATGTACAGCAAGAATTTATTTACCGCCTCCAAAAATGTATTCAGGTTCATGGTGCACATTTTGAACACCTTCTAAAATAAAGATTTAACTAAAAACTGTTGCAATGAAATTGAAATTCCTTCATTTACCGTCCCCGAACGCGTACTGAGCTTACTGACAAACATTTCATGATTTTTTCGCTAAAGGTCACGTGAAGATCAACATATTGCAACTCGTTGGATTTGTTTTTTTACATGCTATAAGAGTGTTGTAGTGAAAATATGTAGTCCCATTAAAAAAAAATTTGATGACCTTGAAATTTCGAAAAAACTGACCTTTAGAAAAAAATTCGGCCCATCACCGTATTGGCGCCTTCGAACAGAATATTTTTCTCCCCTGATATTTTTTCTATCATACAAAATAAGCGATATATTTAAGGTGATCAAGTTAGGTGAAATACCCTGTATATGGAAAGGAAGGAACTTGCCATCACGTTTTATATACTTCTTATTTCTCCCAATTACATTGAACGTATCGTTGAACGGAGGGTTAAAAAATAAAATCAAAATCTTTCGATAATTAAAAAAATTTGAAACTTTCCAGTCACAATTTCAAAAATTGGTTAATATTCCTGGATTTATTTAGAGGTCGTTTCAATGGTATTTCGCGTCAGATCACACGGGAACGGCTTCTAAAATTGAATTTTCGTCCGGAACACCTGAGTATGTATTCCGTTCGACGCGTGTGGATTGTTGGATTCGATCGAGCCAAGTTAAAAAACAAAAAAGGAATGGTCAAAAACAATACAAGAAAAAACGTTAACAAAATCCACCGGATCGATACGCGGCATCTTCGTATGCGCGGGGCGAAAAGCGTCGTTCGTTCTGTTTCTTGAAATCCGATTAATTCCGTTGACGCGAGAACGACAGTATGAATTGTTCGTTCGTTATCTATTCATCGCGCCGTCGTGTTGCGCGACGTGAAATCGGGGAGAAAAAAAGCGATAGATGGCGAACGGTGGAATGTATAATAGATTGGTCGAAGTATAGCACGAAGATGTTGAAACAATAGAAATGGCAATAAATCCCGACCGACGGTCATTTGTACCGGTTCGTGGCGCCACTTCTCAATGAACTAACGTGTTTCGCAATAATTAAAGATTGCATGCTATTTTTCAAATAGTTTATTACTCTTATAATAAAATATATTTAATAAGTTATTTTAGACCAGGTAAAATTTTCTTTCCTGTTAATGATGCCGATATCAACCTACGCATACATAAATAGATTACATAAAACAGTTCTTAGTTTTTAATTCTTACAAGGAAACATACCGAATTGACAATCGACGATTTCGATGCAACTGTGTGAGATTATAGTTCTCATAAAAATATTGGACACGTATTTTTTTTTAACTGCTCTTATCCACGTTAAAGGGGTGAAAACGACCCTCAAAGTTGGGGGTGTGAATTGTATTCTGTCGAATATCTCGGAAACTTTTAGATATAAAAATGGTATAAATTGCAATATTGCTATATATATAATTAAACTATTATAATTATAAAATTTTTGTATATTTTTCTTGTTTTTTTAAATATTCAAAGTAATTCTGGTTCAACTGTCTATTTAATAAAGGCTTTAAAATCTATCGTAACAAAATATATCGTAATATAAATACATAAAAATCGTAAAAGTGTACTATCTATTTGATTATACGCATTCAAGTATGTTCTCTTACACAAAATGTCAGAAAATTTCAAAAACATTAACTTTTTTAATAATGCAAAAATCCAAATTCCAATTTATTCGTATTTTATATTTGGGTATATACTTTTCACATACAAATGTACAAGAAAATCGATTAACATGTGACAAGAAAAATTAACAAAAAATGCTCTTTCTTAAATGTGTTGTTCAAACAAATGGATTATTCTGAAATCCAATTATATAACTGGATTCCTCATAAAAAAACACACAATATGTCAATTTGTACCGTTTTGATATGTCTAAAAGTTTCCGAGATATTCGACAGAATACAGTTCACACCCCTAACATTGAGGGTTGTTTTCACCCCTTTAACGTGGATAAGAGCAGCTAAAAAAAATACGTGTCAAATATTTTTATGAGAACTATACTCTCACAGTTGTAATACCCTCTTCAGAAAATGTCTCCCTCATTGATTAAAGTTCCTATACAGAATTCAGCAAAAATTTTGAAATATCTTGTTCTAATCACCTTTAACATTCAAATCCTCTATACGCAATCATGCATAAAAATATCATCAATATTTTTAATATCATAATAAGTTTAAAGTAGTACCTATATGTTCCTCTGTATTCAACATTCGGATAGTCAGTAAATGATTAAAAATTTATTCTCTGCAGCTGATAAAATTTCACCAACGAATTCCTGTAGAAGAATAAAGACGAATGGAAAATTTATAATAGATTCGCCTAAGAGTTTACAAACCACGAATCGAGGAAAACTTTAGACAGTTCGCTGGTCGGCATGGTTAACCTTCGGAAAAATAAGGCAAACAAAAGACAATGGGGAGGGCTGGATGCGAGAGAATACGGAGACAATACCAAGGTGAACCAGGGGGAGAATAGTTTCGAAACAGAACGCGAAGAATTTCTCCGGGTTCTTCCGCAGTGATACGTGCGCCGGAAGAGAAAGTTTGACGAGCATTGTTTGCCCCTGTTATCGATCATCGTTGTCGTTGTTTGCAAACCGTCGTCGACACGACGATCGCTTACCGGCGCCTTTAGCTCGGGATTTTCCCTTCCGGTCGCCCGTTTCCGGCCGCGCCGTCCATTTCGAAAACGAATCCTCTGTAACTTATAATCGATCAACCCCACGTGCATCCATCTTCCAACGGGACAATCGATCGTATCACCCTGTAAATTTCAGTTCATCGATACAGAATAGTGTCTTTTTGTTTTGGAGTTATTGAGGAATTTTTGCAAAATTTTTGGGGGTTCATAGGGTAAGGTGTGTTGGTTACTGTGCCCATTAAGGGTTCAAAGAGTTCCCAAGAAGTTCAAAGTTTTCCATCAATTAAAACACTGTTTTTTATATTTTGCTCTTCGGAACATTTTTAAATTATATTTTGATGCCTCTTATATAGTATTATCTCTTATATACCTTATATAGTAGCATTTTTTTTTGTATTTAAGTATTATAAGTAATGTGCGATAGTAATGGAAATGGAAATATAATTTTTGAAAAAAAAAAGAAAATTCAGTTACCGTGTATCAATTACTA